CCCCAAAAACCCCAAAACCCCAAAACCCCTTAATGAATAAATATATGAAAATAAATAATAGTAAATTTAAATTCAAAATGAGTGATATTAACGATAAGATCTCTGCGAAATCATCTTCATTTATATCAAATGCAGACAAAAACTAGAGAATCAAGCCTGAGAAAAAAGAGAGACCACATAATGTTGGCTAGATTGATCACAATATTCATAAAATTCACCGATTAGCCTAAAAGATTAATTTTCCAGTCAATTTTGAATCGAAAGAGTAAAGAACCACAATATTCTCATTGATAATACTATTATAGTTTGATAATTGGAAACCCCTCTCTTATTCTTAAATTCATACATTATCTGCTGTTCAATACCTCCAAGACCTTTACAAGTTTTCTAGTGAATTAGGGCATTAATCTAGACATTCAGTATCTTCCAGATGGAAAGTTCTTCAGAAATCTAACTCTCATACTTGTAATTTTTCAATATTACCTCGACAATTTTATTTTAGTGCGATATATTCAAATACAGAGTAGATTTGCAAAAAGAGTAGTTTTTTGAGGAGGGCTTCGCTGAAAGGAAGATGATTCTTATACTTGATGTCTTTGATATTATTAAGCGAGTATAATCATCTGTGAAAGTATCTGATAAATTATCAGCGACTCATACAGGGCCAATTATTGGAGAAATAGTTTAAAAGAGTTATCAAATAATTAATCATAAAAAAGGGGAAGCCCTCGAATTCTCTTACAAAGTAAACACTGCTCTAAAGCAAACTTAGATCAAGATGACTCATAAAACAGAAATACCAAAAGAGATTATTTAAACTAATTAGTTTAGTCATGCATAATACGCTTAAATGATAAACGATTCAAAGGCAAAAATATAAGTTGATAAGGAAAATTCAGTAAACAACTCTGCAGATATAAGCAAGAATTCGTTTGATCAAAAGAAAGTGTACACTTTGAGGAGGCATTATGATGAGGAAGAGATTTAGAAAAGAAAAAGGAAATAAGAAAGAAGAGAGAAAAAGAGGTAGCAGATCGAATATGAACAGACAAGATCAAATATTGCGGATGAGTCTGAAATCCATACTATCCATGAAGATGTTAATGAAGATAAGCAATCATAGCATAATGAAAGATAGAACTAAGGTTACAATAATCTTCATACATAGGATGATGAAGTGAATGATAGAGAATAGCATAAAATATAGATAAATCAGGTTAGTCAACAATAATAATTAGGCTTTGATCCTGCAGTAATTAGCATGCTAGCTCAGGTAAGAGTACTTGAATATAATTATATATTTTTAGTGTGTCAATCAGCTATAAGAAAAAGTTTCACATTTTGAGAGAGGTATTGATGACAAACTGAATTAGATCTAAAATAACTATCAAACTATAGAATCTAGAATCAAGGGTTTCGAATGAACTAAAAATATACAATTAATTGCTCTTTATGATTTAACTATAAGAAAATACTCTAATTATTAATTTAGATTTTATTGTCTTATAAAATTAAAATAAAATGGATTATAATAAAGTGAATTATCAAGTAATAGAAGAGGCTTTTCTCAGTGCCGATTCTAAGGAGTACATTTAGCAAATATTTGAGGCAGTAGCAACTTTCTCTCTTGATTCAGAGATATATACTCTGAAATCAGAGAATTTACCCTAGTCTCTGAAAAGCATTCCTAAGACTCTCAACATCTCTAATGATAAAGCTCTCATTGTAAGTATCTCTATTATGTGCAATATCTTTTTAGCTAATTCTCTCACTTCACAACTTGATGAAAGAATACATCGGAACTGCAATGCTGGATGAGAACGTTCTTGCTAGTAAATTCCCTCCAACTTTCAAGAAGTAGCTGAAGTCATTCTTGTTTAAAATGATGAGAGAATATGCTCCTAAAACCAAGAAGTATTTCTAGGATGAGTTCAGTGGACTTCCAAAGCTAAGAGACTTCGATTGGAGACTCGATGTTAAAATTGCAAGTAAATAATAGGAAAGACTCAAGCAGCCAATGCTCTATGTCAAATTGGACATCGAGAGTTAAAACAGTGAATCAGAAAAGGATCAGCAGAACTCATAGGTACTTTTCTAAGTAAGTAAAGGGTAGCTTAAAGAAATCCTAACAAACTTTGAAACAATTAATGCTCAGCTATCTGCAATCACATCTAACAAATAATGATTAACTTATTTTCTCAATAGATTCATATCTTCATATTCGAAAGGCGGGGTTTTGGGGTTTTGGGGTTTTGGGGTTTTGGGG